TTACAGGTGTGCATGCACCACTGTGCCCGGCTCATTTATCTTAATATACAGCTTATGAGCCAGTTGTGTGCATGTATGTCTATTTTGTCATTGTAGTTCCATGAATATAAAACAAAAGAGCAACTTTTACAATACTTGTCCCTCTGGGAGAAAAATCTGGAAGGAAAAATATTTTAATAATTTCTAAATGATCCATGTGTGGAATGCTGATGAAAAATGAGTATTTCTTTAGCCTTAAACTTTGTTGAATAAGAATTTGTGGTAGAAAAATCTGCAGCAATTCAGAAATTTTAGTTTAGAATATCTAAAGTGAATTCTACTCATCATAGAAATTTTGAGCTATGATTCATAAAAATCCCTCTTATTCTGTTTTTCTTTTCTTTTCTTTCTTTTTTTTTTTTTTTTTGTAGTACTGGGGATCAAACCCAGGGCACTCTACCACTGAGTTACATCCTCAGTCCTTTTTATTTTAATCTTGAGACAGGGACTCACTAGGTTTCCCGGGTTGGCCTTGAATTTGGGATCCTCCTTCCTCAGCCTCCTGAGTAGCTGGGATTACAGGTGCACATCACCAAGGGCTCCTCTTACTCTTTACGTCTTGCCTGCTCCTCACTCAGAAGCGAAGCCCAGGCCCATGACTAATCAGTAATGTGGACAGGACAGCAGAGGAAAACCAGGTTTGGGGGCCCTTACCATGAAGGACAGTATTGTCTAACTTATTCCTTCAGGGGTTTAGCCCGGACTGGAGAGAGCTGAAGACATTTGAATGTCTTCATAGCAGGGCCTCCCTGTGGGTTTATGTAGATCATTAAGACAGAGTAGCCACTAGCCAAAGGGCAAGTGGTTATGAATTCTAAGTCATGCTCGGGTCAGCAAGTCACGACTCCAGGATAGTTTCTATCCATTACAGCAAGCATTGCCTGATTTGCCCAAAATGGATTACAGACTAACACTGGGGTCCTATGGCTCATAATCAAACTACAGGAATGACCAAGAAAGAGACAGGGAAGACATAAGGAAGGAAGGAGATGTGTCTAAACAGAAGCCAAGAATTTAGACAGGAGGAAATTTTATCCCGTACTGGAATGAAACAATGAAGAAAGGTCTGGAGCATGTCATCATCTGGGCACAGGTGGCTGTGAGTACTTGGAAGTCAGGCTGGAAGAGGGCTAAGGTGTGGGAGGCCAACCTTACGGATGACTGAGTTACACTCCTCAGCTGGGTGCTGAGGCGCTCAGTCACAGAAATGGGTGTGTCTTGCTACAGCCCCTTGGGTGAAGCTATGCTCACCTGTTCCTTTGTAATATAACCCCTTGCCCTGTTTAGGATAGAATCTTCCATGGAAGTGCCTTGTGTGTGTCCCCTCCTGTTACTGTGCCCTTGGGTGTGGCCTACCCAGGTGTCAGTCAACCTGCTGACAGTGGACATCATGAAGATAGACTCAGCCCCTGAAACCTGACCCCTTGCCTCATTTGAATACCTTCTCCTCAATAAAAGGGGTCAGCGTGTGCTCTCTTTTTGTGGACCTAAAGGTATTTGTGTCTCTTGTGTGGTTATTTCGTGCAGCCCAGTTAGCCCAGTTTAACTAGAGTGACCCCTGAGCCTTTTAGTCGCGAGAACAGAAACCCGGCACTAAGGAAGGAGGCCTAGTGAAGCTGGAGTTATATCGTGAGAGTGGATGACAACAATCAAAATTGACGGCTGCCATAGTCCTTATGTACGAAGATGCTATTTCACAGGATGTTGTGTTCCTCACGACTAAAATACTCAGGGTCACTCCAAGGGAACTGTGCTGCACAAAATAACCACACAAGAGTCAGAGATACCTTTTTCTTTGGGGTCCTGTGATGGCTCCTCTGACCTTAAGGGTCCGCAGAGAGAGAGAGAGAGAGAGACAGCACGCGCTGACTCCTTTTATTGAGGAGGAGCCATTCAAATGAGGCAAGGGGTCAGGTGTCAGGGGGCTGAATCTAGCTTCATGATGTCTGCTGTCACATGTTGGCTGACATCTAGGAAGGCCACACCCAAAGGCAGAGCAAGAGAAAGGGACACACAAAGGGTGTTTCCATGGAACATTCTATCCCAAACAGGGCAAAGGGTAATATCACAAAGGAACAGGTGAGCGTAGCTCAACCCACAGGGCGACACACCTATGTTGGAAGACACCTCCTCAAACTTTTGGGATGGGGGCAATGAAATGCAGTGACGGTCAAAGCCTCTCTGCTCCCGGATGGAGAATGCGAATCATTCAGAGTGGCCTCCCACATCAGGACCTCATTAGATACACCTTGATCCTTTTTTTTTTTAAGGTGATATCACATTTCTCCTAAGTGGTTCTCAGACTTGCAAAGGAACAGATCACCAGAGTCCTTCCAGACAGAGGGGCTGTCACTCTCTCATCTTGGCAGGAACGCCTCAGAAAAGTTAAGAAATATCCCCAAAGGGAATGATAGATGCGTGTCTAGCTGTTTTCACAAATGACATGGATCAGTGACTTCTATACATCTCCTGTTGCTCGCTCTTGAAAATAGGCAGGTTAGCCGAGCACAGTGGCACTCACCTGTAGTCCCAGCGGCTCGGAGGCTGAGTCAGGAGGATTGCGAGTTCAATGTCACCCTCAGCAATAATGAGGTGCAAAGCAACTTAGTGAGACCCTGTCTCTAAATAAAATACAAAATAGGGCTGGGGATGGGGCTGAGTAGTAGAGTGCCCCTGAGTTCAATCCCTAGAAGCCCCCATATCCCGCCCCCCAAAATAGGCATGTTAACTGCATTTCATCCCGTGTCTGTTTCAGTCTTATATTTCTTGTTGTGAATGGGGCAGGTAACTTGTCCTTTTATTACACATGTTGATAAGAACCAAACATGAGACTATATATTCAGTTCACCTCATAGGCACCACTTCTGATTTAGATCATCTTGGACTTCAACCTTTTAGTATAGTTGTATTAAATTTGGCTTAGTGTTCTGGTTCACGGAAACATGGGCGCCTGAAGGTGGAGTGATGGGTCTCCAAGGCTGCTCTCCCACCTCCCCAGGAACCACAAATCAAAATAACTAAGCCTAGATTTGGGCTGCCTCTGGGATACACCTTAAAAAAATAGACATATAGGGACACTGTATGACTTTCAGAGCTAGGTCCTATGATACCTCACACCTTCTGCTTGAGCCCTTTGGACAGGTCACTCTGTTGAAAGCCTGTCACCATTCAGTAAGCCCTGCTACCATGAGACATCTGAAGTCCATGACTGAGGAAATCTGAGATGGCTATGGAGGTCACGGAGAGGAAGAGATGACCAGCCAGCCCAGGGCGGTTCAGCCACACGCTGTGAAGAGCTAGCCGGGAGGAAAGAATCTGCCCAGCCCAACACATGCTCCAGAAGCTTCTCCCCTTCCTACTTCTGATCAGAACCACATGACACACCCTGTGAGTCCAGAGAACCTGTAGACCTGGAAGACATGATAAATTATTGTTTTAAACCAGTATGTTTTGGGGAGGTTTGTCATGCTGCAGTGTCTATCTGAATGGGTGCAAAACCAAAATCTGGTCTCTGCCTCCCATGTGTATAAATTGTGCTTGTACCAATAATAAATTATATATTCCTTGATTCAAAACCAAAAAAACAATAATTTTCAAACACAGATCCTGCAGGTTTCTGGCCAAATAAATTGGTAAGATTTGGAAACACTTTTGAATTAGAGGAAAAAAGGTAGGGGGGCATTATTTGAGGGCTGTTGTCACAGCATACGACTAAACCAGTCAGGGTCACTCCAGGTGAACTGGGCTGGCATGAAATAATCACACAGAGACTGAGAAATACCTTTTTCTTTGGGTTCTGACCCAGCTCCCAGAAAGGAGGCAAGACAGGCAAGAGAGAGAGCAGCCTCGAATCCAGGGTGGGGGGTGGAGTTATTGGGAGAAGTTGTTCCATGGAATATTCTATCCCCAAAAGGGCAGAGGGGTAGGATTACAAAGGAACAGGTGAGTGTAACTCAACCCCAGCAGGTGACGCCTGCTCCTGGAAGCTGGGGTAACGCCCAAGTTACTGCGACCTAGACCTAGCACTGTGGTGCCAGACTGAAGGTGATAATTGTTCAGAACCCAGTGCATCAGGACCTAAAGGCATCTGCATCCAGGGCAGCTCCCAACAGGCTGCCATTGAACTTTTTTTTTTTTTTTTTTTGTACCAGAATTGAGCTCAGGTGTCCTTTACTACTGAGCCACATCCCCATTCCTCTTATTTCTTAATTTAGAGACAGGGTCTCGCTGAGTTGCTTAGGGCTTCACTGAGTTGCTGAGGCTGGCTTTGAACTTGTGATCCTCCTGCCTCAGCCTCCCAAGCTGCTGGGATCACAGACTTGCACTACTGCGCCCCGTCATTGAACTTCTGTGGTTCTCTAACTGGGCTTGGGCTGAGAATTTCAGGTTCTCACTTCTCCGTTTCCTGCGCAAGACAAGGCACAGCCTTGATACAAAACGAACAGCTTTCAAATGGATGAATTAAGAAATCTCATCCAATGTTCCTCAAATGACCAAGTTTCCCGCAACACCAACCCAGCCCTGTCTGTGGCTGTAGACTGCTCCCTAACAATTCAGTTTGGGCATCTGAAACTGGGTCGGGTTTTGGGTTTACAGTGTCTGACATCGAATAAGTACTATATAAGGATGGTCTTGCCCCCAAACCTTCCCCCAGCCTCAGTCAGCGGTGCTCTTGTCTTCCTCCCTCCCCAGGTGTTCAGCCTGGTGCCCTCTGTCCCCAGGAACTCAGGTGGATATGCCAATAGGAACACCCACAAGGCACCTCCTTGAAATCAATAAAGCTGTGTTTTATACAAAAAAAAAAAAAAGAAATTTCAGTGACTTATCTTTTGTTCTCTGTATCCCAGAAAGATTTATCTTCTTTGATTCCTTGATCCCTCCTCTGGAACGCCCACACCCCTCTTGGTGATGACCACTTGGTTTTGTTTTGTTTTGCTGTTTTCACTCTAAAGCAAATCCCATGAAGTTTGGCAAAGTTTTAATCACCAAGGGTAGGGAAGGAGTAAGGAGGAATCATTTTCTGTTCATGGACTCTGGGAATGCCTCAACCCTGGGGAGCCCGGTCACTCTCTAGGAGACCTCCATGGAGTAGAGGAGGACATCTCTCCACACCTCTACCATCTTCACAGAACTCGGCGGGACTCGATGGATGAAGCTGTAGAGGTGCTCGTCATTTAATATCACCTGGGAGAAGAAAATGTGTCAGAAATACAGTACAAGTGTCCAGCCTTCTTTTCCGTGTCTGCCCTCGCACCTACCCTGTCCACCCAGAACACTCCTGATGGTACTCTAGAGCCTCACACACACACTTCTATCTTCTGTGACTGTTTCAGTCGTTCAATGTGTTTTCAGTGTTCCCTCTCATTTCTCTGTTGAGGGTCTACCATTCTATGTCACATGGTCCATTTTGCTTGGCTTCCTCTCTACCCTAGATCCCCATGGCCGGGGACTGTGTCATGAACCTTGAATCCTTGTAGCTTGCAAAGAGCCTGCCGTTAAGTTAGTGCTCGATACGTGCTCATTGATGGAGTATGTTTTGGCTCCACAATCCTTGGCACTCATTCACGGCTCATGGCAGTTTCTTTTTTGAGTAGCTCAGATTGGGACTACTGCAGGTAGAGAATGAAACCTCAATGTCGTTTTTTTAAATTTTTTTTTTTTTAGTTGTAGGTGGATTCAATATCTTTATTTTTATTTATTTTTATGTGGTGCTGAGGATTGAACCCAGGACCTCACGAGTGCAAGGCAAGTGCTCCACCACTGAGCTACAATCTCAGCCCCTCAGTGTTCTTAAAGAGGTAGATGAGCACAGATGATTTGATAAACAGGATACTAGGGCTGGGGTTGTGGCTCAGTGGTAGAGCGCTTGCCCAGTACGTGTGAGGCACTGGGTTCCATCCTCTAAAAATAAATAAATAAAGCTATTGTGTCCATTTATAACTAAAAAAATTTTTTTAAATTAAAAATTAAAATTAAGCCGGCCAGTGTGGTGCATGCCTGTAATCCCTGCAGCTCCAGAGGATAAGGCAGGAGGATCGTGAGTTCAAAGCCAGCCTCAGCAAAAGTGAGGCGCTAAGCAACTCAGTGAGACCCTGTCTCCAAATTATATACAAAAAAGAGCTGGGGATGGGATTCAGTGGCCAAGTGCCCCTGAGTTTAATCCCTGGTATTAAAAAAAATTTTCTGTTAGCTAATGTGAAACATACAATTCATGGTCAACCATAGCTCCCTACCATGCTACAGATCATTAGAAGTCACTCTGCTTGTGCAAGGGCAGCTCTGTAACCATTAATCATCCTCTCTCCAGCTCCCACCTTTACTCACATTCTTCCAGGGCTCTGGTAACCACTATTCTACTTTCTGCTTCTTCCTCCAAATATATTCTTTGACAACAAATAAGCTCTAGCTCCTAAAGTGTAAAGTATGGAGAAACTGACACCGTCATTTATATATGCATCTGCATCAGCCAGTCCCTTCCTTGTGGGTGGCACGCACCCTCAGGGCACCAACTAACCTTTTCCTACCCTGTTCACATGATGGAAGGAAGCCTTCCTGGATGATGTTTTGTTTATTACTTATATAATATAAATATAAGGTTTGTAATATATAACATATACTTAGATATTTACATATGTTACCAGTATATTTTTACAATATATATCAATATATTATATACTTATGTATTGTGTGTGTATATATATATATATATATATATATATATATATATATATATACACAATGTTTATATACACAATGTTTATATGAATGTAGATTATCTCTAGAAGGAGAGTAAAAGAGCTACTAATTGTTATGGACAGGAGGACTGAAGTTCAAGGGTGAGAGGAAGACTTAATTTTGGACTGAGTAAAATAGTTTATAGTGCATATTTTAACTGTTTAGTTTTATGAAAATCAAAATCACAGCATATAGCAGAAATGAGAGCTGAGTGAAGGCAGAAGAGACGCTCCATCTTGGTGGAAAGGGCCTCTGAGCTGACCTTGATCCTGGTCATATTTGGGAAAAGAACTGAGAAGGGCAGTACAAGCAGAGAGTGCCCAGGCAGGAGCAGTGTGGATGACAGACTCCTTTGGGCCAGGCCAGGATGAGCTGTGTCGGCCTCTGAGAGCCCAGGGGGGCGGGTGGGAGCTGCTCCTGGGCACTCACCTGGTATTCATTGTTCAGCACCAAGAAGCGCAGTTTAAATGGTTGGTTTTCCTGAAAGGGCATCTTGTGGGACGTCACCTCGGTTCTCCAGCCCCCGTCCTGCAGACTGTTCAACACCACAGAGTGGCCAAAGTACACGCGGACGTGGAAGGCGATGTCAGATGTGGGGTCCCGGTCAGTGTGGAAATCCACCTGCAGCTGAGGGTCCTTTCTGAAAGGCAGAGCACAAAGGAGGCTGGGCAGGGTCCTTCTTTGTAGTGACACACACGCTCGCTCCGTGAGCAAACAAATCCTTGTCTTGCCCCCTGCTCCCCCCGAGATGGGAGGAAGACTTTCCAGGGTGAAACCATAGTCCTTGTCCCTGTGGGGCTGGGGAGTGAGATACTCTGTCCTTTAGCTCAAGAACCAAGAGCAGCAGCAATCATTGACCTGGGCCTACTGGTGTTCATACCCTGAGAAGTCTATGTCCCTTGACAAAGCGCCACAGCTCAAACTCTCTGAATGTCCCCCAGGCCCCTGGCCCTGCCTGTAGCCCAGTCACTAAAGGTTTAATGCCTGCTGCTGTGGGAGCTCCAGGACCAGCACCTGCCAAGTGCCAGCATCGTGCTAAGTAAACATTTTAATAGATGTGATGAGCCCCAAAGCACTAATATTCTCACTTCTCCACCCGCCACAAGTGCATTACAGAGCACTCACCTGAACGTATTGCTAACAATCCCCCTGATGGTTACCGAAGAACCAACAGACAAATTCACATTCTTGTGAGTATGGGACCTGCCATGGGAATTGAGAGTGGATGAGAGGGACCAGGCCAGGTGTGGGATCCCAGTGGGGGAGCAGATTAGAGGTCAAATGACAAATTCGGAGGACCCTTCTACCCCCTGCACCACCATGGTCAGGTGCCTGGATCCTTGTCAAGATGGAAGGTAGTAGAAGAGTCAGGCTATCTGAATGCGAACCCAGGTCATGCCTCTCACTAGCAGTGAGATTGTTACACCCATTACTTGAACACTTCGTGTCTCCGTTTCCCCAGTACAAGGAGGATTATCAGAAATTCCTATTTCTTAAGTTGTTTTCAGGAACACGGGAATAGATACACGTAAAACCTTAATTGGAATCAAATTTCCTGACACAGGGAGGGTCTGTAGAGGTTTTACCCATCAGAAGGGGAGGGTGCTTTCTGCAATCTCATTCTCAGATCATTTTCTACTATCTAAAATTGTGAAATGAGACATGGATGTAAAAATATAAAAATTGACTCAAGATAAAAACAACACTGGGAGGGGTGAAGGTCAGTGGTAGAGCAAATGATTAGCATATACAAGGCCCTGGGTTCCATCCCCAGCATATCTCCTTCTATCTCTCTCTCATACACACACACACACACACACACACAAAACCAACAATGCTCCTTTATTTTTATTTATTTTTTTAAAAGTAGGTGAACATAATGCCTTTATTTTTATTTATTTATTTTTATGTGGTGCTGAGGATTGAACCCAGTGCCTCACCGTGCTAAGTGAGCACTCTACCACTGAGCCACAACCCCAGCCCAATGCTGCTCCTTTAAATAGAGGGAAAGAGCTGTGTGCCTTGGCAAATGCCTGTAATACGGGTGACTTGGGAGGCTGAGACAGGAGGATTGCAAGTTCAAAGCCCCAGAGTCAGCAATTTAGCCAGGCCCTAGGCAACTCAGCGACACCCTCTCTCAAAATTAAAAAAAAAAGGGGGGGGGGACAGGCACTGGAGATGTGACTCAGTGGCTAAGCTCTCCTGGGCTCCCTGATACCAAAAAATAAAAATAAAGAAGGGTATGGGGTTGTGGCTCAGTGGTAGAGCACTTGGCTCACACGTGTGAGGCCCTGGATTAGATCCTCAGCACCACATAAAAAAGTAAATAGAGGTATTGTGTCCATCTACAACTAAAAAAAATATTAAAAATAAATACATAAAAATAAAAAAATAAAAAAATTCTACGCAGGGTTTCACTAAGTTGCCCAGACTGGCTTCCAACTTGCAATCCTCCTGTCCCAGCCTTCTGTGTCCCTAGGATTACAGACATGTGCCACAGTGCCCCTGCAAGGATCTCTTCCCTCCCCAGGGTCTGTCTCTTGCCCACATCCACAAATATCAGTCAAACATTCACAGTGGAAATGCTCATTCTTTAATCCCACGCAAGCCCCACTTTTTCCTTCTCTCTCCTGACCTGGGACCACTGAGCACAGCACCCTGTCAACTCACCCGTTTTGTCATTGTCCCCTTCTTCTGCACTGCTCCAACCTTCAGCGAAGAGGGGCCTGTTCATCAACCCCCTGTGGCAGGCCCCGCCCCCGGTTTCTCTCCTGTTTCCAAGCTCCTCCCAGCAAAGGATCCCCGCGGGCGGGCGAGATGGGGTGGGCTGTTTGGAAACAGATGATCAGCTGAGCCTGCCTTGCTGGCTTGTGTCTGTGCGGTCAGAAGCCAGCGGCGTGGGTAGAGTTTCCTGATTTTTAGTCAGTGGCAAAGACGAGGTGGACCAAGGGGTCAAGTCCTTGACCCTGATGGAAATTATCCGAGAGAGCATGGAAATTGATCCTCAGCACATTTTGAACCTATGCGAAGTCCCGGTGGCAGCGTCAGTGTCGCCCAGGGAGGGCTGCACGGAATCTTCTCACACCTGTTCCAGCCACATCTTCTGGGGGCGGGGGGGGGGTGGGTATGGGGGGGCAGTCAATGTACTATTGGGCCGTGAGCTGGAAAGCAGCCTATGCTGCCTTTGGGAAGGGCTCTTAGGGCTCAGCACAACCATCAGGGTATTTGTGGTTTGGGACACTGACCACGACCAAGCCCTCGGTAACCTGGCCACCCCCAGGTGCATAGCATGTACCTTTACCTTAAGCTTTTGCCTCTGACCTTTTTAGCCCCTTGGTTGCTGCTGGTAAGGGTGTTGCTGGCTCACTGGATTATTAGGGCCCTCAGCTAAATTTGCCCAGTAACAGGCCATGGGTAAAAAGCTTGCCCATGCAATAGTAAAGTGGATTGAGTTCTCTGAAACTGGGCTCCGGAGGTCTCTTTTGGACTTCGTGGCCACACCCTCCTCAGCTTTGGGGGGGGGGGCTTCCCCTGACTCAGTGAGCCCAAAATGTACATCTAAATTTCAGAGACAGTGCCCAACCAGTGGATTCGGGAGAAAAGTGTGACTCATAAGTTCTAGTTCTTGATTAGTGTGCGCCTTGTTCGGAAGACAGCGCAGGCAGAAGGACTTCCATCATGATGCAGTGGATGCAGAGGACTGAGGACCCTTTCTCAAACTTTCCTTTTGAGATGAGAGGAAACATCCTCAAAAGCTAAATTAGGATTCCCTTTTCTTTTTGGTCATGGTGAAGTGGCACCCCCTTTCTCCACAGAAAAGTCTTAACTGGGCTTCTCCAGAAAGCTTCACCATGGCTGATTTTAGGACTGTCAGCAAAAGAGTCTCTGCAAAAGAGTTCAATGTAGATAAACTTCCTATTTTCCTGTTGCCCTGTTTTACTTGGCCACTAACCAAGAAGATACCAGCACTCCAGGTGCTGGACAACCCCTTACTAGTTTTTCACAAACATATCCAGTAGAGTAGTTTGTAGAAATGTGCAAACAAGGCCTCTGGCCTTGAGCTGGGCTTCACAGAGATGTCTACATTCCTAAGATGAGAGAAGTTACCAATTGGGCTCCATGGTAACCGCTGGCAGGGAGAGGAAAGAGAGGGGAGGAGAAGCTCTTCCCTTCTCAGGTGTTGTCCTTGAAGGGTTAACTTGCCCAAAACAGTGAAAGAAAAAGCTGCTTTTATGTGAACTTCTGCAGACTGTGAACTTCTGAGCCCCTCCGCTTACATGCTGGGTATGAAACTCCGAAACTCCCTGAACTCGGGGTTCAGGGGATTGATTGATGACAGCAAAAGTTGTGCCCTCTGAACCTGGCTGCAGCCAAATAAAACTGTGTCCTGCTATCTTTGGTGCCTTGCCTCGTCTGTCCCTACAAAGTGGTACTGGGAATCCAACCCAGGACCCTGTGGGTGCAGACAAGTGCGCTACTGTTGAACTACACCCACAGCCCTAAATCAGAGCATTAAAGAAGGAATGTGTTATTGTTCGATCATCGTGGATACAAAATAGTGCTTTCATCAGCTGCTCATTGAACTGTTGGGTCAGTTTCATCAAACCAGGCCTCTTTCTGAAGTATCAGCAGATTGTCAATTGGCCACTTTAGGCAGCGAATGTGACTTGGGACCACTGAGCACAGCACCCTGTCAACTCATTGTTATTGTCTTCTGCGCAGCCCTTCATTTCCTGCCCCTGAGGGTCTCTGCAGGTACTGCGGGCATCCTCTGTGATGGTATCCTCAATGAACTTCATTGCCCTTGGGTAGATCCAAGAGATGTTGGCGTTTATTTATAAAGTACTTGTGTTTCACTTTTATGTGTGTTTAGAAAAGGGAATTGGATTGGATCCCCAGCTCAGCCAAAATTTATGATCCAAGTCATTGGAAATGGTTATCCTTCAGAGCTAATCTGTAAAACAGGGCTTCATCTGGGAGTTTTGGAAACTCAAAGAGAGAGCAGCTCCAAAATAAACATGATATTCAGGTCACCAAAGGGTTTTGTTTTTTTATTCCCCCTTGGATTGGGTTGAATCGGATGGTTAGTGTTAGGGTCCCAAACTATTTCTACATATAGAGCATCTTTAAATAAGTTTCGTCACTGAACTTGAGACCTTTTTTCCCTCACTCACGTGCCCATGAAAATTAATGCACATACACATGCATATACTTGCATACATTTGTACGTATATATAAGTAAGTTACTTTGCCATTAGAATAAAAGTAGACACTAGAGGGACAACTGTGAGGAACAGTTTGGTCTTCTGTGGAAGTCTTCCTCTACGCTGAGGAAGGCAGGTAGAGTTCGCTGAAGGGAAGTTTTCTCATCATCTGTCAATCCTGCATTGCCAGGTCTCACCACCACAGCTACCTGCACACCTGCTTCCTCAGCAGCACTGGCCTCTAAAGTAACATCTGTTAGAAACAAGATCTTGTTGGTTGAGCATCCAAGGCTGTTTGCAATCTCTCTGGAAAACTCTCACTCTCCACTTGGTGTCCAATTTGGATATCAAAGTGACCACAAAAAGCTCAAGAACATTTCCCTCTGTAGAATGCCCAGATAATAGTTTCTGAGCCTCTGCACTTCCAGAGAATGGATGTACACCTTCCTTCCATCTTCTCTCCACTTCCTGACGGCTGCAACTACATCTTCAAAGAACTCTGCTTTCATGTGTCCAGCTGTGAATGCTGCCCTCCACACGTGGCCCTGCAGGTGTCTGAGTGCCGAAGAGACCTCTGCCAGCACGCATTATCTATGATGGCCCGGATTACCTGTTGTAGTTCATCGGCCCCATTTCCAGACGCTGCAGGGATTGGAAGAGCCCAGTCAGGTGGGCATCTTCTTCAGCCTGTTTTCTCAAAAGATTGACATCCTGCTGGCACCCCTCTTCTTCCCAGTGTGTCTGCAGATACTCTTTAACATTATCTTTGATGTAAGGAAATAAGATGCCCAGCAGCCATTGTCCCCTCTGCTCCCGCTACTTTAGCCTCCCGAGGCATTTCCCATTGGCGGACAAGGGCGCCTCGGCAGCTCCCTTCCCAGAACTTAACCTTCTTACCCTCATGGGCTCCCCCTCTTCTGCCTCACCCCCTCCTTTTTTCTTCTCGGTCCTGGGGATTGAACCCAGGAGCACTTAAGCCCTAGCCCTTCTTATTTATTTATTTATTATTTTGAGACAGGGTCTTGCTGGCCTCCAACTTTCGATCCTCCTGCCTCAGCCCTTGAGGAGCTGAAATTACAGGCGTGCACCACTGTGCCTGGCTGTGCCACCTTTTTTTTTTTTTATCCAATCTTCTATCCCTGGGCACTTAGGTGGATTTCATATCTTAGCTACTGTGAATAGTGCACGGTAAACCTAGGAGTGCAAGTATCTTTCTGATATCGCATCCATCTTGATCAATATTTATGCTCTACAAGAAGGCATCTTCCCAGGCCACTATTGGAGCCAAAAGCACCTCATCTATGAAATAACCTTTTCCTGCCTTAGCTTAGAGACAGGAGTGGGAGGAGGGCATGATCATCCTTGAATAAGTTAGTTCATTTAAGTGGAGTTTCAATTAATTCAGTTGAGTGGAGGGAAGTGGGAGCTGTGGGGTCCAGATAGATGGAAAGGCAGCCCCCAGGTTGTGCCCACTCCTCTGTGTTACATGGAGAGCGCCCAGGCTTAAGCCCAGTCTCCCTCAGCCCCCACCCAGCCCCCTCTGCACATAGCTGCTCTCCCCATTATTCAGGTTCCAAACTCCATCCTCAGCCCAGAATCCTCAGTGCCATTCTGCACTGTCCTCTTTCTGTCACAAATCTTATGGTTCCACTTTCATGAAACACTATGAATTGGCCCCCATTGACCCCTCGGACCCCAACAGGTGACTGGGGACAGGTAATTGCCCAGGACATCACTCTGATTGCTTGGAGAACTGTTTCTTTCATAAACAAATGTCTTTTCCTAGAATTCCTTTCAGAATTCCTATCCAGACAGCATTTTTCAGAAACCACCCTGAATTAGGAAATCCAGACTATTTGAACTGTGTGTCTCTGCAGGATCTATTCCCGGCTTTACAACCAGAAGTGAAAGTAAAACAGAAACAGATTTCAACTGGGTTTAAAAATTCAGCCAGTGTAACAGAGAACTGAAAGTACTGAGTTGCCAGTGGGTCCCGGAGTCCATCCTGTCTCACTTTCCCTTTGTCTTTTTTTTTTTTTCTCTTTGGTCCTGGAGATTGAACTCAGGGGCACCCGACCACTGAGCCACATCCCCAGCCCTATTTTGTATTTTATTTAGAGACAGGGCCTCACTGAGTTGCTTAGTGCCTTGCTTTTACCGAGGCTGCCTTTGAACTCACAATTCTTCTGCCTCAGCCTCCCAAGCTGCTGGGATTACAGCACTTTTCCATTTTCTGAGGGCATCATTGGAATGGACATGTTCAGCAATTGGTAGAATCCCATGTCTGATCTCTGACCTGTGCAATGAAGGCTATGATGGTAGGAAAGGCCAAATGAAGGCCATTTGAGCTGCTTCCAGCTATAAATATGGTAACCCAAAAGCCATAGTGCCTTCCTGGAGGGTTTGCGGAGATCAGTGCAAACATGGAGGACTTAAAGATGCAGGGGTGGCCATTAGCACCACATTCCCATTCACTCATCTATTTGGCCTGTGTAGGAGACAATTACATCCCCGACAGTGGCAGCAGACTGTCATAAGCTTCACCAGATAGTGATTCCAATTGTAGAGACTGAGTCCAATGTGTTTTCACTGCTTGAGTCAATTCACACATCCCCTGGTACATGGTATGCAGCTATTGATCTGGCAAATACCTGTGGGCACGTTGCTGGGCTTCCTAACTTGGCAAAACTTCTAGACATCAGTGGCTGGGCATGTTAAGAGATCCATCCCTTCTAGTAGATATGATAGGATACACCAGTCATCCCAGCAACTCAGGAGGCCCAGGCAGGAGGATCCCAAGTTCCAGGCCAGCCTCAGCCACATAGTGAGAGCATCTCTAAACAAAAAATAAACAAGAAACATCATCAGTGTGATGCTTAACCTTTGATTTCCATCACATCCTTCATACGATGAATCAGAAAGCCCCATGGCTCCTCCTTCATAAAAAAACCACAAATCAACCACTTCTCATCACCCGTGGCCTGATTTTGTTTTCTTTTGGGGATTGGGGATTGAACTGAGGAGCACCTAACCACAGAACCACCTCCCCAGCCCTTTTTATTTTTCATTTTGAGACTGGGTCTCACTAAGTGGCTTAGGGCCTCACTAAGTTGCTGAGGCTGGTTTTGAACTTGTGATTCTCCTGCCTCAGCCTCCAGAATGGTCTGTTATGTTATGGTCTATTATTTACACTGCTGTATTGTTCTACTGAGTGTCTTACTTACAGTAGAAGCTCAAAAACTTATATAATAAATAAATGTCTTTCCTATTAAAACAGAAAAGGACCAAAGTAATGCCATTGTGTTTTGACCTGACTCCATTGTAAAATGTCTTCTTTTCAGCCTCCTGATGGTTATATCTATGATGACAGTACAGTAGGACCTTCCAACGTCCCTGACTATGGCCCTGATACATAATAAAAATGACTTTGAAATGTGTAATCAAAACAATTCTCTCATGTAATCAAAATATCTGTCTAAACAGGATTTTTCTGACCTACATGGGCCTCAGTTATTCTTGTGGTTTTTGTGGGGTTTGCCTTTATAGATTCTGTGCTTCGAAAGGTCACGTGCTGGGGAGTTCTTTGAGGCGTTAGCTTGCCTGGCTTGTTCATTCATTAAAAGACCTTTTCCCCTTTGACTTTGGCTCCGCACGAGGGGTGGTTTGTGATTCTCACTCCATAACACTGCAACTTCTTTCTGGAGTACAAACCAGGGAGTATTTCTCAGAAATCAGCAGTTACTTGAGCAATGAGCTGTGTTTGGACACCGTTTCCTCTGAATCTACTGATGGTTCTATGATTAGAAGTGAAAATGAAACCAAAAGACGTTTTCAGCTGAGTTGAAAAGTTCAGTCAGTATAACAAATAAGGAAAGTTCTGGAAGGCAAAGGGGAAGGGTAGGCAGTTTGTTCCTAGG